TCTTATTAGGTGCTACTTACATGCTTTTAAGTGCCTTTTTAAACATCACCATAGGTTAGGAACCTCTTTTAGGTTAACTATGGAAAAAATGTCAAAGAGTTGGTTAAAAACCAAGATGCTCTTATGCTCTTTTGTGCTCACAAACCAAAAAGAAAAAAAAAAAAAGTTTTAAAATCCTACCTTTAAGATCCTGTCTTTACTTATGTGCTAGCTTCCAGCTAACTGGGAAACTGGAAAACAATATCACAGGAGACAACTCTGTGTCATGCCTGCTCATGTTATATCACACCAGTCTAGGGGAAAAGAAACATGATTCAGGGTCCTTGCTACAGAATGCAGCTATAGGATGTCAGAGTGAAATGGTCACAAAGAGGTTGAGAGAATGTTATGATTAGTTTCTGGCACAAAGACCAAGGGAGTTCAGTATTTCCTCATTATTCAAGGTGAATCTGAATAGTCCCTAGCAAGTAAACTTGTTACAGAGTGTTTTCCATAAACAGTGAGTCATGTATGGTTAAAGAGTACTTCCCTACTGCATACTTGTATTAGTCATTTCTATCTTTATTGAAGGTTTAACCATTAATGCTTCAAGGTTAATACTTTTTAAAAATAGCTCGGACCAAGATGCTGAGGTCAATTTAATGTGGCAATGCATGAGTCATGTATGTGTCTTGGGATCCTAGGATATATTTCCTAGTTATAAAAGACACGTGTTCCAAAGGTGTTTTATGTTCTATGATTCCAAATACATTGCAACTAAGATGAAGGTAATTTGAAGATCAAAAACCCAGTAGCAGTTAATTCATGCAATCCTTAGGACTTGACCTGGGCACAATCTCAACACTTGTGACATTATAACTACAATCTTCACCTGGCTGTGATTTTTTTTCATTTTAAAAAGCATGTCTACATGTATAGCTTCATTGGATTTGCTAAATCACCTGTAAAGAGAACAGAACAATGTTACAATCTCCTCTATATTTATATTTAATATAAACAAAAAATAAAAGAAAATAAGGTCTATGTTTCACTTTCTCAAGTTTTCATCCTGAGAACAACTTAATGAAAAAATCAAGATAAATTAGATCTTTTCTTTACCCAAGGCTAATGGGGTTGACTCACCAAGAACAATGTTGAGAAATTAAATATTTAATTCCCCTAGTTATATATTTTTTATGTGCCAGACTCTGGGCTCAATATTTTAAATGAATTTTCTTATTTTATCTAGCTAGTAACCTTATACATCAATAATATTATTATTCCCATTTTTACAAATGAAGAAAAGGATTCATTGACTGGGCAAAGATCACAGGCTGAAAAAGTTCTGAAGTCATTCCTTTTAGCTCTGAGCACTCAATTGCAAAATGGTGCTTTTATTCTCTGTGCCACACTGCATCTCTTAATCTATAAATTCAAATACTACCTCACTTTGAGAAATAATTTTGAGATATTTATGGAGCTTAACATTAAAATCCAAAGTTTATTTGGATCTTCTTGTCTAAAAATTATTGAAAAACATAGGAAACAAAAGGAAGACAAATATATACATTCACACACACATACACACACACATTAAAACAGTGCGGTACTGTTACAAAGCACAAGGCAACTAAAAGACAACTGAAAATTATAGAAAATGATACATGTTATTTATAAGTACTTCCCATATGATGAAATTGATATTTCCAAATATTAAGAAAAGAATGATCTATTCACTAAATGAAGCAGAGTTATTAGGTAACCAGTTTGGAAAACAAAAATCAGAATAGAACCGTACTTCACAACATACAAAATTTTACATCTTAAATTCTGGATGCATTATAGGTATAAATTTTTTATGTAATACATATTTATGAAACATCACTATTACCTAATGCTACACAAGATAGCACTGACTCATTTCCAGAATGGTTTTTATGTCAAGTTTGTCATTTCAATAAAATACATTCTCCTTGAGTATGAGTTTTTTATTCAGCAAACATTTACTAAGCACTTTCTCTGGGTCATGCACTAGGATTGCAAAGTTAAAAGACACAGTCTCTGTCCTTAATTTCCAACTCTGTGATTCTTCTGTATTTCCCATGGTACATAGTTAATTCTGGTCTACAAAGAGTTTTGAACACTCGCTGATGGCCAAGAACTTTGCTATACCATGAACAAACGGAAGAAGGGAGGGGCAAAAGTTGGAGGAGAAGAAAGAGGAAGAGGAAAAAGAAAAGAATGAAAGAAGGATGGAAAGAAGGGAGGAAGGCAGGAAGAGAGACAGGATGGCAGGGAGGGAAAGGACTACCAATTAGTCTCTGCATTTAGAAAAAATTTATTTTAGTTGGAAAGATATACAGATTAATTATTTCAATACAACTTGACAGGTGCCAAAAAGAATGTGAAGACTGACTCCGAAGTATGCACAGAGAGAGAACATTTAGCCCCACGTAGGGATGCCAGGAAGACACCCTCAAGGTCATGATGCTAGAGGAAGGTTCTTGGCCAGCAAAAGTCAACCAGTGGAATAAAGAATTGGTACATATTGGATAAATATTTACAGAATTGATTGAATAATGAACGATTGAATGGATGAATAAGTAAGTGGATAGAGGATTCCAAACTGTCTAATGTGTTTTTGGACCACTAGGCTTTTAACGACCTCTTGGAAATAAGAGACAGAAACACAGGAGCTCAGTGATTACCCCGGAAGAAACCTGAAGACAGCTTTTCAGTTGGAATGCTTTTGGCAACATGTAACAGAATACGTGGCTAAATGTGGCATAAACAATAAATGTTTGTAAGTGAATCTCTAAGCATACGAATTCTTGAGATAGGATCTTGGTTATTTTGCATTTACGCTACACCTCTGGGCAACGTCTCTCCAGTCCTCTTGGCTTTCCCTGTATCATCTCAAATGCTGCCAAAGCTTTAAGCACCACATCCTCACGTGATACTACGCAAGGGGGGAGTGGGGCTTCACCCCATGAACCCCGCTCTTTTACCAGAGAGGAAAATCTTACCCAAAGTTTCATGAGGATCCGTTCCCTAAGTTCCACTGGTCAAGACTGCATCACATGGCCCTGCTTATTTGCAGGGAAGGCTGGGAAAACAAGTATCTGACATTTCAGCCTCTATGGAGACAGTTGGATTTGACCATGGAAGAAAGGTGGGAGAACGGCTGCTGACTATGCAAACAACAGTGCCTGTTTCAAGAGTTGAGTGCATCCTAAAGAGGATGTTGCCTAAACAATCGGCAACACGTAAGTACAATGCTCCTCTGTACACTAAGGTGACACGCATGAGCATCAGTGCCTAAATATGAAAATAAGTGATGGTTCACATGTATTCTGTAACTTCCACCATTTCTTGTATTTCACTCATGCAGGGGGCTCACTCCACAATAAAAAGAAGTGACTATTTTTTTCAATGTCACATGCACAGTAATGTAGAAAGCATCTTTTCTCTTCCTTGGTTTTACAGCTTATGTCAACACTGAGAAAATCAATGATCCAACTAGAGAGATGGAACTGAAGGGAGGTGAACATTTATTGCACACCGAGCTCCTAACTAGAAACTTGACATACAGCATCTCTTTCAGTCTTTACACCAATCCTAAGAGGCAGGCATTAAAAGGAAACTGAGGCCCACTGGATCCAGTATTTGTCTCAAGCCAGAGAACTAAGAAAATGTCTGACTATAAAGAGCATCCTTCTGTTCGTACATCTACATGCCAGGAAGGGCTCTCATGAATACAGCTGACCCTGAGCAGTGTGGGTTTGAACTGTACGGTTCCACCTACATGCAGATTTTTTCATCCAAATGCGAACGGAAAATACAGTATCCTGTGGGGTGCCAAACCCCCATCTACACAAGGCCAACTTGTCCTGTGCTTGGGTTCTGCAGGCCCGACTTCAGGACTGGAGTATGCACGATCTTGGTATCCACAGGAGTCTTGGAACCAGTCCCCCACTTCTACAGACAGATAACTGTATTTGAATATGCTAAACATTGTATGTCTGTAAGCACTCCTGCTTGTAAAACTTCTCAACCCTGACGATAGGCAGAAAATGTCTCTTTTAAGCCCTTCCCTGCTTATTAATTTATTATTCAGATTGTAGGGCCCATTTTCATAGTTTAAGAAATTTACACATCATACAATGACAACCATCAATCATATTTAAAATGACTACTAGAACTAAAATACCAAGAGTTTGTCTAAGGTTTGCAGAACCTTCTGCCTGAAAGATTACTTATTTTGTTTTGAACCTACACATCCATTATCCATTCAACGGGTGGATAGTCACCACACATGTGCCATGCACCGTGCCCTATACACTGGTAGATGCTTATCAATGTGGATTTGTGATCAGGGCTTCATTGAGAACCATTCTTCAACTAGTCCAGAAAATAATGTGTTCTGCTCTTTTCCCTAACACAGAAGCATAGTATGATTTATTAGGGCACAAGATACGTGCTGATTTTCCTTTTTCGCTTACGCAGAATCCACTCTCTGCCCTTCTTTGCTCTGGTTTGTGCCCCACGAGGCCACCCTGTGGATAGCTTAGCCTGGGTTCCCTTCCCCTGGCTTCCAGTTGGATTCACCCACAGGGAAGCACCAGAGCAATAAGCCTTGGTTCAGGCCACTTCTTCTCTGCCCCTCCTTACGTGAGCACTGTGTCTCCGGCAGGGGCTTCCTTCTTCCAGGACGGGAGTTCCCTCTCAGGGGGCCTCCCCTCCAGAGATCCAGTTCTCACTGGGCCCCAGTAACACCACGTTCCCCGGGTCCTTTGGCCATGGAGGTGGCAGTGGCTTCTGCTTCCACTAGTCTCTGGGTGACTTACCCTTCCTGCTTTGGTCTCTTCACCTAGCACACACGACTGTTAGGATTCCCTTTATTAAAACCTCTTTCTTCCAACCACCCAGGGCAAATTCTGCTTCTTATTGGGATTCAGGTTAATCAGAATATCAAAGGTGATGAAAACTGAGAAATCCTATCTCTCCTTTATATTTTACAGGGATGGAAACGCAGGCCCAGAGAGGGTTTCACTTGCTGGGATTCACACAGACCCTGGGAAGGATGGGAAGCAGCTGGCCTTCCCTACCTCCCCCCAAGTCCATGCTCCTGTTGTAAGCGCCCCAGACCAACCCCCAGTGTGTGCCCAGCTTCTTCTGTGAGGTCTGATCTTCTGATCTTTCAAGCTTTGGACAATGGCTCCTTCTGCAAGCTTTCAAGCCTGCAAGCTAAGGACATGAATGAACTGAGTCATCCCCACAGAGCTTCATTAATTTTAAGGCAATTTGAGATTTCTGAGTCATAGGTTTCAGTCATTTAGACTTTCCCAGCTGGTACTGTACTTGCCCACACACATTTTTCTTTAAAGATTGCATCTGTGTCTAGATGTGTGGTTCTTCTGCCCACCCTTCGCCAGCTTCTGAGGGAAACCGACCTCATAGAGAGATGTGTGCAGGGGTATGCCATTTCCACTTGCCATGTGCATTTTAGTCTTTGCCTGAGAGCTTAATGAAATTAGCAGTCTGCAGCTTGCTCCAGACGCTATCCACCAGAGACATGCACAACTCCAAATTCTATATCCAACACAATATTTTACCAAGCCTCCCAAGAAAACTCAGTTATACCATATGGTGACTCCACTCACTGAATAATATTTAGCAACTTGATGAACAAAGACTGAATCATATCTTAACCATCTTGGCCAAATATTGTTTTATATAGCAACAGTATTAGTAATATATATGTTTTATTTTTTACACGAGTACTTCCTGCTACGCCCACTGAAAATTAAGAGCTAGACCTCACTGGAAGTAGACTGCACAATAGAAGAGTTCTCGCTCATTAGTGATCTTCAATTCAATATTGCATTGTATGTATGATACATTCAGAATGTCTGCTTTTTCTTTTCTTCCAGAACAGCTGCTGGGATTGAGCAATAGTCTCCCAGGGTAACGCAGCAGGGAATCCTGGGGCATTTCCCAGACGCTGAAAACAAAGGATTTGTATCCATGAGGAAGACAGGGCTTGAGCTCTCTCCCTCCCACAAGGGAGAAGTCTCCTGTATCCTCAGTATGTGGGGAAGAAAATTAGCAAGACTCTGAGTGAGTGGCCCCATGGCCTGGTGATCTTAAGAAAGTCACTTTCCTCTCCGAGCCTCAGTTCAATTGTTCGAAAGGGATAATAATGAAAATCCTTTGTAAACTTTAATACAGCACTCAAGTGCCAGGTTGGTCATTTGTGTTGTGCAGACACTGTCAAGCTGTGTGTATATATATATATATATATATATATGCAAGAATAAGGAAGATGCAATCCACACCTTCAACAAACTTACAAGTTGAAAGTAGGAATATACAGAAAGAATTTCAATACAATATGGCAAGGCTAAGATAGAGTTATGCAAAGTAAAGGGATTCTTAGGTCAAAATGAGAGTTGCTGAATTTGTTGGTGCCCAAGATGAATCTTGAATGGTCAGTAAGATTTATGGAGATTAGAAGAATGTTCATTCCACGCGGTCAAGAGCATGAGCATTTGCTACTAGAGAATGTAACTCATGGTCTAAAGTGACAGGAAATAAGGCAGTATTTATAGCAATTAAGAAATATTAGCGATTATTGCTACAGAATCAGTACTTTTTGAAAATCAGAAAAGGGATTTCTGGGAGACACTCATGCTAAGGCAGCAGCAACTCTTCTCTCCCCGCCCTGTGGCCACCATTGAGCTCATCTCCTTGGGAAATTGTTTGGTGTAAAATGTTCCCATTATCTATTACTGAGTATAAAGCTAACCAGTACTTACTGGTGTAAAACCACCAACACTTCTTTGTGTCATGGTTTCACAGGGAAGGAGTTAGGGCAGATGGCATAGCTGGGGTTGCTCAGTGGTATTCTGTTAGCTGCCGGTGCTGTCTGCAAGGACAAAGACAGCTTCATTCACACTCCTGGAGCCTTGTCAGGGTTGGCTGGAAGGCTGGGCTGCACCGAGATTCCTCTTCTCCACACAATCTTGGGGCCTTTCCCGGTGGTTCTCCAGCAGGGCAGCTGGTGGAACTTATTTCATGTTCTCTCAGGGCTCCAAGCAACTAAGGCAGAAGTTCCCAGTTCTCTCCACACAAACTGGCCATGTGTTGTGTCTGCCATTTTCCACTTGTCCAAGCAGACTCAGCCCAGGCCAGATTCAAGGGGAGGGGGCCAGGCTCCACCTTTTCATGGAGGAGTGTCAAAATTTGTGGCCATCTTCACCTTGGAACATTTATCTCTCGATTTCTGGTCACTTCCTGTAAGAAAAATCTTGTTGGTTTCTCTGGCCCAAGTAAGAATGCACCAGGAAGCAAAAAGAAAAACAATGTCAGGTGAGGAAAGTGCAGCCTAAGAGAGGCCTGTCATTGTACTGTGAGCTCCTATGCGATCCCCTGTCCTTTGCCCAACACCTGGCACAGTGCTTGGCACACAGAAGGTGATCGATCAACACAGCTGAGCTAACGGACAGGAGTTTGCTGTTATATTGTTGCTATGTGAGTGAATTTCTCACACTGAACCTTCTAGGAAAGGTGCCAGGGGAATCTTATTGCAAAACTAGCAGTTTATTGGGTTGACAAAGAGAACATTCAATTAAAGAGATTTTCAGAACACAATAGGATCATTTTAGTTGTGAAATGTGGACTTAAAAAGTAATTGTTTAGAAACAGCCAGCACACATCTGAAGACAGGATGGCAAGATGCAGCTCCCTGTACACAGCCACACACTGAAGGTCCTTGGTGGACACTGGAGAGCAAACGCACCGGTAGTTGGCTCAATCCAAGAAGTCTGTGCCCCAGGACAATGTCCAGGCTCTGTCCATAGCATCAGGCCTCTAAAAGAACACCACTCATGGATGCATTAATCCAATAAATAATGATAACAACCACTGTGTGCCCATCACCATTCTACACATTGTGAATACGAGACAGACCCTAGTTTTCCAGGGCCTCCTGTCTCCAGATGAGGGTTTTCTCTGCCCGTCTTTAGAGTCTGGGGAAATACTGGGGTGTCAGGAGGTGGTGGACTAAGACGGTAGGGAATAGGGAGACTGGATTAGCCCATTGCCCAGCCATGAAGCCACCGTGCCAGAAGGAAGAATCACAGGGATCTCAACTATTTGGCTTTTAGCTTCTGTTCCTTTCTGTTAAACATGGTAATCTTTGCCCCAATATTCAGATATACCACCCTAGAGAATGCCATGGTAGGTGATTTTTGAAATGGCTCTTAACGTTCTATGCCTCCTGGTACTCATACCCTTGCATTATACCCCCTTGCTGTGTTTGGGTGGCCTTGGTAGCTTGCTTCTAATGAGTAGAATATGGCAAACATGATGTGGGCTTTGACTTCCATCTGTCTCATGCTCCCCCTCTGGCTCTTCTCACGTGTTTGCTCTGGATGCAGCAAGCTGCCACGTGTAAGCCGCCCTCTGTAGAGGCCCAGGTGGCCAGGAACTGAGAGGGGCCCCCAGCCAACACCCTGGGAGGAAACGAGACCCTCGGTTCAACAAGCTTCAAGGATCTGAATCCTGGCAACAACTGTATATATGTGTGATCTTGCAAGTGGATCCTTCCCCAGTGGGAACCTCAGATGAAACCACAGGCCTGGCCTATACCTCAACTGTGCCTTTGTGAGTGACCCTGAAGCGGATGACTTGGCTAAGGCATTCCTGGATTCCTGACCCACACATAATGTTGTTTTGCCTTAAGCCACTAAGTTTCTGTAGGTAATTTGTTTTTATAGCAACGCATAACTATTAATAACACAAGTGTATAAAAGAAGAATAGAATTCTAACTAGCTCAGCTCCCAGTCTAGTGCACTTCTACTACATCATGTGATCTCTGGCTCATAAGGATCTTTCATCCAGGGGCCAGGGGAGCATCTGGCTGGAAGAATGAAGTCCTGGCATTTCAGTTCAGCAATCGCATGTTTTAACAGCCTTTGTTCTTCTCCTATAGCTCTGTCTTAGTCTCAGGCAAACCTGATGGCTGTTTCTTATCCCAGCAGACTAGTGCCTTCCACCTCCAGGACTTGGCACACCTTCTCTTAGAAACACTTTTCCATCTCAACCTGCTGATATTGATATTCTGCTCAGATGTCAAGGATAGCTCAAATGCTTTCCTTACTTGGTCTCTTGGCTGGAAGGATTCTTTTCCTTCTTCATATATATGTATCTCCTACTCGGTGCCAAAGAATATTCTAAAGGATAAAAGGGTAATTTAGTTTTATTTAGTTTATATTTTAGTTTCAGCCTTTATTTAGTTTATATTTTATCATTGTTGACTTTATGGTAGAATTACTTTATGTAAATCTTGTATGCCTCAACTCCATTATAAATTCTGAGAACAAGGATATGGTCATTTTCTACAATGTTTGCAGTCACAATGTCCCAAAACTCAGTAACTGTCTGTTATGGGCTGAATCACGTTCTGCCACCAGTTCCTATACTGAAGCCCTAACCCCCAATGTGTTCGCATTTGCAGGTAGGGCGTGTAAAGAGGTAATTAAGGTTCCAAGAAGTCATAAGGATAGACCTAAGTCCAACAAGACTTGTGTCATCATAAGAAGAGGAAGTGACCCCGGGAATGCTCAGGCACACAGAAAAGACCCTGTGAGGACACAGCAAAGAGGTGGCCATCTGCCAGTCAAAGACAGAGGCCTCAGGAGAAACCAAACCTGCTAACACTTTGATCTTGGACCTGTATTCTCTAGAACTGTGAGAAAATATATTTCTGTTGCTTAAGCCACCAGTCTTTGTTACTGCAGCCAGAGCAGACTGCACTGTCATTTGACAAGACTGAGCCCAGCGGTGCAGTAGACCCAGTGGACTCAGAGTCGCATGGCAAAGCCATAGGCAGGCTCAGTCACTGCTGAGTTTGAATGTTACCTCTACCCTGCACCAACCAGCAAGAGCCACTCATCCCTGTAGAACCCCAGCTTCCCTGTTCTATAAAAGGAGGTAAATCCACCCTGTGTTTCACCGTTACCTTGGGGAAGATGTGAGGTGGTGTTTATAAAGTGCTTGTCGAGAACTGAATGCAGAGGAAGTGCTACCTGTTTCCTTCCTTCTTTTCTCTCCTCCCCAGGCAGAGAGATCATATCAGGGACAGGGCCAGCCCAGCCACTCTGAGCCTGAGGCATAAGGAAAAATTGGTCATACAGACTCATTCTTTCTTTAAAATATTGATGCATTTCTTTCATCATGGATTTTTTGGCATTCATTTTCACTTTTTTAAAAAAACTATCATGTGTCATATGGTTTGGATGCTTGGCCCCTCCAAATCTCATGTTGAAATGTGCTCCCCAGTGTTGATTGTGGGGC